GACTCACGACAAGCTAGAACCTCGTAGTGAGAAGTGTTATTTCATCGGCTATCCACATAAGTCTTTTGGCTATCTCTTCTATAGACCAAGTGAGAATGTTGTCTTTGTTGCTAGGAGAGGAGTTTTCAGAGAGAGAGAGAACTCATAAGTCAAGGAGACAGTGGGAGTCATATTGGCCTTGAAGAGCTTTAAGAGTCAGGAGATGAAGGAACCTCTAACACTGGCGCTCAACCTGAGGAGGAAACTCCTGTTGAACCAATTGACCAGTCCTTACCTCTTAGACGTTCCAATAGAGTTAGTGTTCCACCCCAGTTTTATGGTTTCCATATTACTACTGACGGGGATACGTTTATTAGTGATAGTACACTAGTAAATCTGGACGAACCTAATAGCTATAAGGAAGCCATGGCTGGCCCAGAGTCTGCTAAATGGAAAGAGGCAATGGACAGCGAGATTCAGTCCACGTATGACAACCAAGTTTGGAATTTGGTTGATAATGTACCAGGTCGTAAGACAGTCGGGTGCAAGTGGATCTTCAAGAAGAAGACAGACATGGATGGGAAAGTGCACACTTATAAAGCGCGATTGGTCGCGAAGGGCTTTACTCAAACTCCTGGAGTTAACTATGATGAGACCTTCTCGCCAGTTGCTAAAATAAAGTCTATTAGGGTAATGCTCGCAATAGTTGCGTTTCATGATTATGAAATCTGGCAGATGGACGTAAAAACCGCTTTTCTAAATGCAAAGTTGGCTGAGGATGTTTACATGAATCAGCCAGAGGGTTTTGTCGATGCGAAGTATCCAAATAGAGTGTGCAAGCTTGAGAAATCCATTTATGGATTGAAGCAAGCATCTCGCAGATAGAATCTTTGTTTTGACGAGAAGGTCAAAGAGATTGGTTTTCTGCAAAACGAAGATGAGTCATATGTGTATGTCAATGCCAGTGGGAGTATAGTGAGCTTCCTCGTATTGTATGTCGATGACATACTGCTCATAGGAAACGACATCCCAACCTTGCAGGAGGTCAAGTCCTGGCTTGGGAAGTGTTTCGCTATGAAGGACCTCGGAGAGGCTGCGTATATTTTGGGAATAAGGATAGTGAGAGACAGAAGTAAGAGACTGATAGGACTCAGTCAGGATACATACTTGGAAAAGGTACTAAAACGTTTTAGTATGGAAAATTCCAAGAAAGGGGAGCTGCCAATCCAATGCAATACCAAACTGAGTAAGACTCAGAGCCCGAGTACAGAGGCAGCGATAGCTGATATGAGCCGAGTTCCTTACGCTTCCGCAGTTGGCTCGATTATGTACGGTATGACCTGTACTCGCCCTGATGTGGCCTTCGCTTTGAGCATGGTCAGCAGATATCAAGGGAACCCTGGTAGAGCGCATTGGATTGCTGTCAAGAATATTCTTAAGTACCTACGAAGGACCAAGGAATGGTTTCTAGTCCTCGGTGGGAGTGATGACTTAAGGATGCGAGGGTACAGTGACGCTAGTTTTCAGACGGATCGGGATAATTACCGATCGCAGTCAGGCTGGGTCTTTACCCTGAATGGAGGAGCAGTGACTTGGAAAAGTTCGAAGCAAGAGACCGTAGCTGATTCAACGTGCGAATCAGAGTACATTGCGGCAAGCGAAGCGTCAAAGGAGGCTATATGGTTGAAGAAATTCATAGGAGACCTTGGAGTTATGCCATCCATAAAGGATCCTATGGAAATTTTCTGTGATAATGAAGGAGCGGTTGCCTTGACCAAGGAACCAAGGGATCATGGCAGATCTCGACATATCGACAGGAAATACCATTTTATTAGACATCGGGTAGAAGAGGGACTCCTCGTTGTGAAGAGGGTATCGTCAGAAGATAACCCAGCAGATCCCCTTATGAAGGGATTGAGTAGGGTTAAGCATTTGAAGCACGCTAGGAGCGTTGGGCTAAAGGAGGATATTAGTTTAGATTAGATAGATAGGAAATTTGTAATGGATAATTAGTATTCAACATTTTGATGATTAAATAAAGGTGTGTTATTTATAAGAAAGTTACTATCTTGTGTTGATTATTTATCTGTTATTTCTAATTTTGCATGTTTTGACTTCCCGAATAATAAGATTGTTCGAACAGTCCACAATCGCTCATATGTTGGAAGTAGATATGAAAGAAGATTATCATAAATTTGTTTGTGGATTGTCTAAACGGTTTAGACATAGCAAAGGTTTGGTACAAAGTTTATGAGTGCTTATGAAATATGTTTTGAGCATTGGAATAAACCCGCACTTGCTAGTATCACTTCATGAAAGTTATCACAAGTAATCGCAAGATGATAATATCATATAATCTTTAAACCTAGAGATATGGTTATTGTTTGCTAGATGATAATGCATTGATAATACGAAAACGCATCAGTAACTTGATGTTATAAAACGTATTATTGTGTGTAACTTAGCTAGTAGATAATAAAAGCATATAAGTCGAAGTTTTCTGTTCCTTTTATTCTAAGAGTTAAAAAGCGATATCTTGGCCACTTGATGATTTGGTTTGACTTATGTGCCGGGCCCGGTCAGGATGAGGTTGATGTGTTCAACTGAATTCTATGTCGAACGAATCAGAGATCGAGAAACAAAATGCTGGACAATAAGTATTGTCGGCATGATATCTAGAACAGAGGATTATACGATCCCTTATCTGAAGGACAAGATTTTGATCAGAGTTGACAGAAGCGTATAAGAGCTACTATTGCTAACCGGATCCTGAAGTCGTATGTGAGATATAGTTACTAGACTTATCCAAGTGGGAGACTGTTGGATTAGTGTCTAAGCCCATAACTATATTTGGTATGTACTTGACCCGGTATGCATGGTTTTTGGGTTGCCTTCACCAAAGCAACTTGACAAGGTAATTTAAGAAAGAGAGAGGAAATTTAGCTTATAATATATTGTAAGAATAATATATAAAGGAGAATCATATTTTTTAATTAGTATTAGTCATAAATTAATTAGGAATTAATTTGGTGACTAAAAGAGATTAATTAAAAAAGGGACATAAACTGTCAACTGTGTGATAGTTGATTTGGGCTGGGAAACCTAATGGACTAAGGGGGGAACGAAATTATGATGAGGGGTCATCATATTTTCGTCCAAGGGCCCTATTCCAGAAGGTTACTTGGGCTGCTTGGTGGCTAAGGTATCCATTAGGGTTTAGACTGAAACCATAGCAGCCTATAGTATAAATAGAGACCCTTGCATGCAATTTTTGGCCACTTGTTCCCAAGAGAAAACCCTAGGCCGAAAATTAGCATCCTCCTCTCTCTCAAAGTTGCCTTCTTGCTTGTGTGGTGTTTGTGATCCATTAGAGGAATTACAATTGTGATTCTAAGCTCAAGAGAAGAAGATTCAAGATACTATTTGAAGAGGTAAACATCTAGATCTGATGTTATATGTTAATTTTGATATTATGTATGCTAGATTAGGGTTTGCAAGTCTTGGATTCATTGCATGTACAATAGAGAAACCTAGATCCAAGCATTAGGGTTTGTATGAGCACATAGGATTGTTCTTATGCATAAAACCCATCAATAATATCCTCAAAATCCTACAAAGGTAGGCATAAAGAAGTTCTGATTGGTTGGTCCCTTTGAAACATTTCACAACATTTCCTATTTATAGAAGAGGAAAAGTTCTCTTGTTTACACTCACCATCGATGTGGGATGAAGACATTATAATAAAACACACTTTCTTGTTTATAAAACATTATTTAACGTATTTATAATATTATTGTAAATTTATATTTATATAACATTATGTAACTTATCTATAATATCATTGGAAACAATTTGAAAAATCATGGGAGTATCAAATGTATGTGGTCAAAGGAAAATGCTTCATTTATTGGTCCAAATTGATCAAACTCGGACCAATTCAACTCAATATACCAAACTACATAACTTTTTTTCTAGTGAAACCCGGTTTGTATATATTTCGTGCTTTTGAATCAAAGTGATTTTTCAAACAGTTATAGTTTTAGGTTTAGGTAGATGTTTTTTTTATATTTATATAACATTATGTAAATTATTTATAATATTATTAGAAATAATTTGAAAAATCATGAGAGTTTCAAATGTACGTGGTGAAAGGAAAATGATTCCTTTACCGGTCCAAATTGATCCAACTTCAATTTAACTCAATATACCCAACTACATAACTTTTCTTTCTACTTAAACACAGTTTGAACCTTAAAAAATCTGGTTCAAAACTATTTTTGGAATTATAAAACTTATCTGGACACTTGCCGATATAGACAATCTCACCAAAAAAATATCTTCAAAATCCTACAAAGGTAGGCATAAAGAAGTTCTGATGGTTTGGTCCCTTTGAAACATTTCACAACTCCTATTTATAGAAGAGGAAAAGTTCTTTTGTTTACACTCACCATCGATGTGGGCAGGGGCGGAGCATTTATAGGGCCAGCAGGGGCTCTGGCCCCCCCTGAAATTTGGGTTAGAAATAGCCTTATAACATCAAATCTTGTAAATATAGGCCTACTATTGTCAACCTTGGGCTGGGGCCCCTCCTAATCAATTCTCCAATAGACGGAAGCCCAAACCAATTGACTAGTTAGAAGTCAAAATCGATCTTCCAATCATCCCTAAACCTTTCGCAGTCGGCAGTTCCGCTTCTGCCCCATCTTCGTTTGCTATCGCTTGGATGCCTGCACATGGACACCACCGCAGCACCACTGTCGCTGTCCACAGTTCACCGAAAATCAGGTATGCTCTCCGTTTTTCTTCTACAGTTCTCTCTGTTGCTGTTAATAGAAATTTGAAAGTAAGAAAGAATACAAATCTATTTGTTGACTTTGATCGAATTTAGAGTAAAAACTAAAAACTATATGCTAACATAATCAAATACAAGCAACATTTTATCTAACCTTTCAGAAAGAAAACGAATTTGATGAAGCCATATTTGAGATTTGACCAATTTATGGGAAAGGCTAGAACTATTTCTACATACAGTATGAAACAAGAGGCATAAGCTTTTGATGGAAACTCTTTGGTTGGTATAACGATTCGCCATCAAGTAGTTTTTTGTTTCCGAGATAAACTATCGTCCTTATTCGTCTATCAATGGTGCTAGCCCAAACTGTAAGGACCCATGGAACCTCGTTTGACAGTGTTCCGTTAAAAGGCCCGTAATTACCTACCGAACAGCTCACGAAGATCCCTTTCTGTATGGCTTTAAAGGCGCTAATTGCAAGAGAATCTCGATAGAAGGGTACAGAAGCTCCACCAAATGAAATTGAAAGCACATCAACCCCATCTCCTATAGCTGCATCCATCCTTGCTATATTGTCGCTTTCAGAACAATATTCCTAATTGCATACTTTATACATAGCCAAGTGTGCCAATATCTTGAAATTTGATATCACAATATTCATTTCTAATTGTAGAACAATTGACTTCAAGAATCAAGAAGATCAAAAAGTCTTTAATTTGAGCATATATACAAACATTGAGTTCCAATAGAACCTCATTATAGAAGTGCGAATTCTTTTAAAAATTATAAAAATCCTTTTTTATTGAATCAATCAAGTTCTTGACAGATTTAGTAGGAAAAAAAATCATTTATTGACTTATCTATCTACACCAAACCCACTGAAGCTATTAATGAATTGTTGTAGTTTTTTGTTAATTTTTGTATAAAATAAACTGATGAGTGATGAGTCTTGCTTTTGTCTAATTTTTTATTTTTATTGAGTGATATGTTCCTTAATTTTGATTTTTATAGATACAATCATGGGAAAGATGAAAACCATTGATTATTTGGTGTATTTTTGGTTAATAAAATGTTCCAGTTTTTTGTAAGTTGTTTTTCTATGTATTTTTGGTGTTTATTTGCTAAAAAAATTGTTTTTTTTGTGTAAGAACGGTAAAGTTTAGTTTATAACACATTCAGCCCCTCCAAATTAATTGTTCAAGCTCCGCCACTGGATGTGGGATGAAGACATTGTAATAAAACACACTTTCTTGTTTATAGAATATTATTTAACTGATTTATAATATTATTGTAAAGAAATTGAAAAGTCATGGGAGTTTCAAATAAATGTGGTGAAAGAAAAAATGCTCATTTTATAAGTATATATAGATTATATGCCTCTTGATGCACATCACATAATCAGAACACAAAAGTTTAGAAAGAAACTCTAAGAAACTCTATAAGACTAGAAATTTCATCTGAAGCTACCATAAAATTCAGAATTAAACATAACGCAACATAAAAGAAATCTAAATTCATTCTTTCTACTGTAATCGTCTTCCAACAACCAACGAAATAGTCTAAATCCGGAAACAAACAAACAAAAACATTGAAAACAAATCGGAAATTGGAATGAGAAATAAAACACAATATGAGAGATCAAAATTCAGAAATCCAACTCACCCAACCCCAATTTAAAATTGAAAACCTTAAGCTTCTTCAGATTTTCGTCGCCCATTCTTTAAAAATCAGAACAAAAAAATAAACTTAGAAAATTAGAAGGAGAAGTAGAGAAATTCGTTGTAGTAGGTTTTTGAAGTTGGAACGAGAAAAGAAAACATAATAAGGAGATGAAAATTCAGAAATCGAACTAACCCAAACCTAGTTTTGAAATCGAATACCTCATAATTCTTTAGATTTTCGGTGGCTATATGCTTCAAAAATCATAATACTAGGAATGTGATTATGAGAAGTAAAGAATCGAAATAGAGAAATCATAAATTAGAATGAGAAATAAAGAAATTCAATTCAGTAACCACTAGGTTTAAGAGAGAAGTAGAGAAATTATAATGAGAAGGATCAGTCCGTCAGTCGATTACAGGCTCCGCAATCTAGACAATGTGCTTTTCTAGACGTCGATTGGCTTCTCGAGATGCTTCACGTCCACGCTCAAGATAACGATATGTTGCCTCCAAACACCTGTGAATTGTGAATCACTATCAGACCATTTATTGGACTAAACTTTGGACCAAAGTGAATTGTGAATCACTATCAGACCATTTATTGGACTAAACTTTAGGCCAAAGTGTATATACAATATTAATTATTGGATCAATTTTATGCTCTTTTTTTTGTTGTCGTGGGTTATGGCCCAACTCGCCCATGTATTGGACCAACCCTTGACAATACAAAATGGGTATTCTATATAGTTAGTTTAAGAACAAAGGGAAAATTTCATATACCCCACTCTTAAACCTCAAAATATCATATTTGCCCAACTTAATTTCTCAATATCATATTTATCCTTCATAAACCTTCAAAATATCATATTTGTCCAATCCTTTTTTATAATGTTTTTAAATATTTTATAATCATTTTTATACCTTAGATTTATCATAATAATTAAAAATTTTAACCATATTATCTTTACGTCTATGATAACGGAATGCGAACTTCTAAATTGTTGGAATGTTGCCCTCTTGACAAACAAAAAGATTCATCTTCAACCCTCTCTATGAAATGTATATTTTGATTGTTTAGTTTTTGTTGTTGTTGATTTATCATGTTGTAGATGAAAGATATTTTAGATATTACCATTGACATGATGTTTAAAAAGTGCATATACGATATTTTGATATTTAAAAAGGACATATATGATATTTTGATGTTTAAAAAGGACATATATATGATATTTTGAAACTTTATGAATGGTAAATATGATATTTAGAAATTTTATGAAGAGTAATTATGATATTTAGAAATTAAGCTGGGTAATATGATATTTTGATGTTTAAGAAGGGAATATATGAAATTGTCCCAAGAACGAATATTAGATTTTTTTAAGCAAATGATAACAACAATCATACTATCTTACGATCAATTCTACGGTCCTACGATTCGATCCTAATTTTACCAAAAAACAATCCGAATAAGATTGTGATCGATTTACCTAGGTGATCATAGAATCATCAGGATCGTGATTTTAACAACCTTTCAAACTATACAGAAAATTATTCAAATAATAATAAACTTTATAAAAGCGAAGATGCTTTTATATCAATTATTATTTGTTAAAACAGTTAATTACTAGTATTTTATAAAAAAGGTGAAACATGATAATCTGAAAAGTTTCCCATGACGGGTCCACACAATCGTCACTACCCTTTGAAATCCTCCACTTCGACCAACAAGATTCCAAATCAGTAAAGGTTTCTTTTTCCTTCACGTAAAAGAGTTCAAATATAAAAGAGGCGTTTATAGAAAATTTATAACCTTTCTCTTGATTTACATATATAACATTTTTTTCCTTATAAATCAAATAAAATGCAAAAAATAAAAAATAAAATAAATAAATAAAAATTGTAGAATAAATTCCCTATTACAAAATCCAACCAATTTGTTGACTGACCCATTTAATGTCTTTGAAAAAAAATTATTAAAGAATGCGACCACTTAAAAACCCAATAGTATACTCTACAATAATGTTCTAAAAATTCTCTCAAAATCTCTGCAAATTCAGTTCCGGTTGTTTTTGTTTCTATTTGTCATAGTTTATATATAGATTCGTTGCTCTATCCGGAATGGAAGCTTCGGGCATAGAAGAGAGTGAACAGACTCATAACCTCACTTGCAGATCTTGATTTCTTCATGTTCAATTGTTCATGTAAGTTTTCGCTGATTTGGGCTCGTTTATTTTGATAAATTCTTGAATATATCATCTGGGTTATAATTTTTATGCGCGTTTTGATCTGAGCTTGTAACTTGATAGTAGACAGTTCACTGTTTTTGTCAAAAGTCAATGATGCAGACTTCTGCCATGAATTCCGTGTTCTGTAAACTGTAATCAATTCTACTAATTTTGAATATCTAGGGTTTAATGTGTACCAATGCAGTTCAATTATTCATCGGATACTCCACATGTGGATTTGGTATTCGATTGTTTTGGAGTACGAAATTTTGTGAAGCTTCTTTATGTGGTCGATCAGATATCTACTAGCAGTTAAAATCTTTGACATTTCTAGGAAAGAATGATGATGTTACACAAGGGAATTCATGTTTTTAATGCTTTAATTGACAAATTCAAGCTTAGTAAATGTTTGACTTATCTGTTCTTCGAAGTAATTTCAGTCCACTTTCCGATTTTAAAATTTAGTACTTTTTCAAAATCTTACCAAAATCAGTCGGTTGTACCTTACCATATAAAAAGGAATCAATCATGCAATATCTGTCTTTTCTTCTTTATATCTAAATACCCATCAAGAATGTTGAATTTTAAAGCTAAAAACTAATTTGATTTTGACTCTAAAAAGTCAAAATTCGATTTGAGGGAGGAGTATCAGTAAGAATCACATATATACATTGCAAGCAACCCCAAAGGTGTGATTACTTACTTACTTACTGGTTGGTGGATCAGTAGATAGATTGTTTTGTTATTTATAAAATTTCAATACTTTGATACCCTTTTAAGCATTCGATTATACGATGATATTTGCAGAAATTTTGAAGGCCTTATGATTTCAATCAAAGCAATAAATTTCTTGAACTGAGGTTCAGATGCAATCATGCAAATATGAAAGTTGACAAGTTGAAACAAGATTCCGGCGGTGGTTTTCTCGATTTATTCGATTGGAATATGAAATCACGCAAGAAATTCTACAAAACTCCTGATTTATCAGGTAATATTAATCTCAATACTCGAAAGATATTAGCATTTTTCATACTTTTTTTTTAACTTCAGTTTAAATTTTTATAGAACAATCGAAGCAGAAAAGGAGTAGCGATGTAAACATAAATATACCCATACCCATTACGCAATTTCATCCGGTATGAATCGCTATACATTTATGTTTAGATTTTGAAAGAATTTATTTGTTTCGAAGCTGAAAAATTACTTGTTTGAACATAAAAGTCGAAGGAATCGAACAATCGAAGCAGAAAAGGTTGTTCGTCTTCACTAATCGATGAAGATGATTATGGAAAATCCCCCGGAGTAGTTGCTAGGCTTATGGGATTGGATTCGCTTCCAAATCCAACTTCAAGTTTCAACGACACACAATCAAACCGATTTTTTGATTCCCGATATGTTAGAAAAAGAATCGAACTTGAACAGAAAGATTTCCACCAACAAATTGATCGAAAACATAAAGTGATCGAGAAGTTTCAAACCGAAAGTTTACCACGAAAATCCGATAAATCGGTTCATGTAACTCGACAAAAACTCTTATCTCCGATTAAAAGCTCCCGATTCGGGTCATCGGATGACCCGATTCGTATAATGCAAGTCGGGTCAAAAACACCATCGAGAAAACCATCGGAGTCGAATGCTGCTAGGAGTTTAAAAGGGCAATCAATGAATAAGAGTTGGGATGGTTGTTTAGAGAGAAAACCGTTCATGGAAGATGGAAAGAAGTCGGTTTCTTTAGCTCTTCAGGCAAAGATTAACGTTAAAACACGAGAAGGTTCGAGTACATTAAGGAAATCTTCTAGGAACAGTGTGCTGAAACAAAACAACCAGAAACAAAATTGCTTGAATGGAAGAGGATTAGGAAAACCTAATGCAAAATCTCCGGTGACTTTGCCCAACTCACAGTGCCGGAAACCAGTTTCCGGGAAGAGCTCGAGTAAGATTCCGGCGAAATCTATGAACAAAACTGTCAATCAAAGGAAACGTGATAAAAATGAAGGAGATGGATATGTGGTTAGATCTAATGGATCGGATGTCGTTTCTTTCACATTCACTTCCCCAATTTCACGCACTCCGGTAAGATCTACAGAGAAAAAGAACACCTTTTTAGCTGAAAATCATGGTACCCTTTTGGACCAAAAACTAAGGGAAATCAACATAACTACAATCTTCCAAGATAAAATCTATAAAGACGATTCCCGTTCAGGGTTCTCTTCAAATATCCCGTTGTTCAAAGATCAAGATCTTGTTGCAGTTTTCTCAAAGAAATTCACAACAATGGAGGTTGAAACTGAATCAGAACCACGTTACGTGGATAATATACTTTTCAATATCAAGTCCATGTTTGAGGATTTCAGTCTAGGAAGGACTCAAAAGATTGTAAACCCACGTCTATTTGATATACTGGAAGCCAAAAGACCGATTCTTGGGAAGAAAAACGAGGCGAAGTTAAGGCGTAAACTTGTGTTTGACTGTGTGAGTGAGTGTGTTGACTTGAAATGTAGAGTGTGGCTAAGAGGTTTATTGGTGGTGAGAAGAAAAAAACGGTTAGCAAAAGAAGTGTGTAACAAGATCTTGGGGTGGGAACGGATGAAAGATTGTATGGTGGATGAGCTTGTAGACAAGGATATGAGCAGTGATGAGCATAAAAAATGGCTTGATTTTGATGTTGAAGCGTTTGAAGTTGGAGTGGAAATCGAGAGGCGATTACTCGATTCTTTAATCAATGAAGTTGTTGCTGATATTTTGGTACTATAGTTACGATTAAAATGCATAGAATTTTGTGGATTTGGTTGTATGTTTATGGTTTTTTCTTGCAAATATCGTTTCTTTATACAGTTTTTGGGAATAATTTGGGTTCTTTTTTGCATTTTCTGTTGATCTTTTTTTGCATATTATCGTGTACCACAATGAGCAAATTGTTGTGGAAGGTCTTGATTGTGCATTATGAACTCCAGAAGATGTTTGTATAAGACTGTATTTTGTATGCACTTCGTATATTGTTATATATTGAATAGGATAGACCCACTAGCTGTATCATAGTCTCTCGGCCGTGGGCATTGTATGTTTCTGTTCATAGTATCATAATTAGATCAAATCAATTACGAGAAATCTCACAATATGTGGTTTCGGAGCTAAGGCCATCGGGTCTCCACCATCTCAACATCTTTACCACCTTAACACCATCTTCCTACCACAACTTTGAGGCAACATCTTTACCAGGGCCGGTCCTATGATTTTGAAGGCTCTGAGCAAACCGTAACAAATGAGCCTTTATATATATATAGGGGACAGTTCAAATAAAAACAGTAAACAGTATGAGAACGTAAAAACACTTTTTTATGTTATTATTCTGTAATGAATTTTGTATCGACAACTTTATGTCATTATTCAGCAAAGAATAAATGAATAGTCAAAGGTTAAAATTAAAATTAGAATTTACTACAAAAATGCACATACATAAGTTTATAATAGAATAATAACATTGTAATGAATATATGACTAATAGAAAGTTAATATTTATATTAGAATTACTTCAACAATACACATATACAAAATTCATTACAGAATAATAACATAAACAAAGTGTTTTTACGTTCTCACACTATTTACTGTTTTTATTTGAACTTACTTCTATATATATATATATATATATATATTATATATATATATATATATATATATATATATATATATATATACTATATATATATATATATATATATATATTTTCTAAAAAGTAAATTAAATTAATTAAAAATGGAAAATGTAATTTTTTAAAAATTGAGGGGATGAATATATAATATCTAAAAGAGTAAATTACACGAATGGTCCCTATGGTTTGGGGTAATTTGCGCATTTAGTCCCTAATTTATTTTTTTTATCTTGGAAAGTCCCTACTGTTTGTTTTTGTTACGTGTTTGGTCCCTACTGTTTGTTTTTGTTACGCGCTTGATCCCTGTCTTACCTAAAAATACTATTATTTAAATAAGGAAAAATGGTGGGGTAGGTAAGACAATGTGAGAGGGTGGGGTTGGGGGTGTGTTTATTTAAATAAGTTAAAAAATCAAGGGCAAAATAGTTTTTTTAGGTAAGACAAAGACCAAATGCGTAACAAAAACAAACAGTAGGGACCTTCTGAGTTAAAAAAATAAATTAGGGACCAAACACGCAAATTACCCTAAACCATAGGGACCATTCGTGTAATTTACTCTATCTAAAACTGATTTTATAAAGAAATTGGACGGTTAGATTAATTTTAAAATATTAAGCATAAATGAAGGGCTGAAAGTGCAAAATAAATAAAATTACTTTATGTTAAGAAATCTAGTGAATCTACGGAAATGAAAAAGAAAAAATAGAGCTGCGCCAAATCAATTTTATTTTTAAAATTGAATACAATAATATATATATATTACCGAAAACCAAGCCACCCCGACTTCATGCGTCTTGGGGGCGGTGTCACGCAGTGGTCGATGATCCACCTTAGCATCACGCGTGAGGCCTGACCCCCCCACACCTCCCCCCCCCACACACACACACAAACACACACACACACATACACACACACATATATATATATATATATGTTAGGTTATTGTTGTTCTAACTAACTCTATATATAAGGATGGTTCAAATGATTGACACCATACATTATCAGAGTTAAGTTTACAAAACGCGAAAACGAATGTATTCGAAGCGTGTGTACAGTCCCGTCGAACTCTTCTCATAAACGTCCTGCAAAAGAGGTTAATCCACAACCGTAAACATAAAGTTTAATGAGTTACCTGGTATACCATATATTCCACCATACATACAATGCATCCACATACAATCATCGACTCTAGCGTCGAGCAAACAAAACTCCTATCCACATACATATATCATATGTAATAGGCCCAACCCAACTTACATAACGGGCCCCGTCGAAACATACATAACGAGCCTAACCCAACCATACATAACAAGCCCAACCTAACCATATATAATGGGCCCCACCTAAGGAGTAAACGAGTCCAACCCAACCTCCACTGATAGGAGCTACATCTTGGTCTTCCCTACAAATGTGAGGGGCCAAATCCTGGTCTTTCATCCAATTCATAAAGTCATATGTAGTCAGGGATCAAATAGACATCCGAACAGATGATCCACCCGATGACGAACAATCAAAAAAGAACATCACAATAAGGCATTAGACCAAAAGTTCTCAGACAATCCATCGTAAACTACATAGTACCAAAGCTATCACTACCACATAATCATGTAACATAAACACATAAAATATACTTGTATATTACATAACCTTGACAACTAGCCTTCCATAGTCACCGTGCCATTGACAACTTCTCAATTAAGTCCTTCGCTGGCCAAACATTCATAATCCTGATAATTGTCCTTACCTAGTTACCCTAACCAAACATTACTCTTAACACTATTATACGATCAATAGGCAAGACCCTACCAGTCTAACATACCATGACACCAAGTGCCCTACACTGCACATGCATAACAAGGAGTAGTCAACTAGCATATTTGTACTCTAATAGTACCCCTATCCTACCATGCAAAACATATACAATGGGATACGTGGCAGAGTGAGAAACTCATGTGAACTGAAGAATCGGAGAAGCACAACAACACTCGTACACCTTACACTGCTCAATCCCGCGAACCGAATAACACTAAAAAGATATAAATCCTCACTCAAGAATCCAAATCCTCCAAGTTTGATCCCAAGTCAAACTGGTTAAAATTCAATGGTAAAAAAAGTCAACGGTCAACCAAGTCAACAACCACCACAACGTGGAGACCTATTGGCCACGTCGTGGGCATGACATGACAAAATAGACGACATACAGGACATTATCACGTTGTGGGCCCTCTTTGGCTATGTAATGGGAATACCAGGACAACATAATCGCGAATCAATATTCCACCACGTCGTGGGCCCTCCTTGTCCACGTCATAGTTATTGGCAGAACTCTCTGTTCTTCATCAAGAGCTTAATCCTTACAAATCTAAGCCCAAAACTTCAGATCTAGTCCTTCTCAAAGCCTTAATGTATACAATTTCCAACTTTATCCATTAGGACCTCACCCCAAAGCAAGATCTACAATCCTAAGTCGAAAATGACATAAATCCTTCACAAAACATGCATGGCTCGAAGGATAAGATCAAGATACCAACTTTCCAACAAGAAAAGGTCCAGAAGACAATCCTTAGTGCTTAGAATGGGTTGGAGTCATCTCAACTCCAAGCACACCACCAAAAAGGGACCAAAAGCATAAAAATAGACCATAAGCTAGATTTAACAAACTAGAAGTAAAGGTCGAAGCTTTATACTCATAATGGTCCAGAAATGAAGTCACTTTGCTAGATCTACACTTGAGCTTTTCACCAAAAGACTTTGCAAGCAACTTGATCTTCAAGCTCCACACCAAAACATGAGAAATGAGCCTTCAAGTGGCCAAGAACACCTCAAGAACACTCAATGGGGCTAGGGTTTCGAGATAGGAGGGGGGAGGCTGAAGAAAATGACCTAACCCTAATATTAAAGTCCTTAAATATGGAGAGAAACCCTAAAAATCATGGGCTTGGGCAGCACAGTTGTCACGCCGTGGCCATCCTCTTGTCACGTCGTAGCAACCATGTCAGGTGCGATCTCCATTAAAATGACATGCCACGTCGTGGTCATCCATGCACCACGTCGTAGCATAAGGTTTTTCTCAAAAAACCCCATCTTTGATCCCATTATCTCTTCAACTGATCCATTTTGGAAAAACGGGTGTTACACACACACACACACACACACACACATATATATATAATATATATATATATATATATATATATATATATAAATTCGTTTTATTTTAATTCAATCATACAATATAAAGTGTTAATTATAATTCAAGCACATTAACAACTTATATTTAACTATTACTTCTCTTTTCCTAAATATTTTCTAGTAAATGACATAAAAAGCAAAATGTCCAAAGTAGTCGAGCCGATTGTTAATGAGATTTTATTTGTACACAATAAGTTTTTTTCATACACAACAATTTATGCTTCAAAGGGTTGTATAATATACACATTGTATAATCATCTAAAGCATAAATTGTTGCGTATGAGAAAAATTATTGTGTATAGATCGATTCTCATTATCAATTTCTTTGATTGCAAATCTACAAAGTAAATCCTGACAAGTTCCTAAAATTATTGTGTATAGATCGCTTCTCATTATCAATTATGTAGTTGGTCGTTATGGTTTTCTAGATTTAGCACTCTGAGGACAACTAAGGAAAATGTTACGTGCTTGGCCCTTATGTTTCATATTTTTGCTTGGTTGATCTTTTATCCATATAAAACGAATTTTTATTGTTTTAATCTATTTTAGACTTTTTATATATTATTTATTTGTTTTTTTTATTAAAAGAAAAAAGCCAACCACCTCTCTCTCTCTCTTTATATATATATATATATATATATATATATATATATATATATATATATATATATATACATACATACTAGGTTATAACTCGTGTACTACACGGATCACAATTTAAATAACATAAGTAATCCATAATAAGTGACTTGGTATACAAAGATAAACCATAAAATTCAGACTATGTAGATAAATAAAAACTAAGAGACAAGTATGTGAATAAGGTTAATGACACCAACTTTCCAACTAATAAGATATAGGTGAATAAGCTTAATGACAACAACTTCTGAACTCTTTAGAAATCAAAACCTAATAATATTTAGACTGTAAAATGATATATAAAAGATACAACTATCAACCATAAAAATTGGATAAACTTATGATAACAAACATACATGGTAGTTTCTTAATAT